ATGGGGTCTCTCTATTATGGGATTTGTTGATCGTTTCTCCCAGAACCTATTTTGGAATCTGTCAATTTACCTTATTCAAGATTTGTCCTATAACTTGTCAATTTGCTTGCTTTAGACCTCATCGGGTTTGAGTAGTTCTTCTTCTGATGGGTAAGTGGTCACCTACTGGAGATGTTGAACTAGTGGCATGGCATGTTCTCACCTCACCATCAAGACCTTGTCGTCCATCCTCGTTGATCTGATTAGAGTTCTGGACATGTTGCTCTCCCTGTCTTGAAACTCATGGGCTTATCTCCCTCTGAATTCCATCGCGTAAGACGCGTCCTCGATTCGTCCCTCTTCTCGGATGACAATCGTACTCAAAACACCGTTGATCTCTCTAGATTTCATATTGTTGGCTTTTAGATCTTAGTCAACCCCACAGATGGCGCCAATTGTTGATGCAGAAATTTGGCCTCCTGAAATTCCGCCAAATTCGCACCAATCTTTTATAATAAAAAAGGAATCGATGAGACCTGCAAAACAAAATAGCATTAAAGACCGGCGTAGCTTGCCACACAGGCTCCGATACTTAATTAAGTCAGAATCGGAGTAGTTGAGTATAGAAAATAAGATAGTTAGCAAAGAGTAGAGATCTGTAGCGTAGGTGACTACTTACCTTCTATTTATAGAGGTAAAATTCTAAGACATTAGGATATCTTCTCCTTTATAGAAAATATGGATTTCCTCATCCATAACAAAATATATAATGAATTTATGCACATGGATGCAAAACCTTAAACATTCTAGCTGCTATGATGTGTGGTAAAATTTATCTTTGTCCTTGAAATTTGATCTAATTAAGGTCGTACCAAATATTTGTTTGAGAGACGTACCAAATATTTTTTTATAAGTTTATGGGTAAAAGTCGTAATTTAACCAAATTAAAATTATCAAAAAAATACTCCTAAATGACTGTGTTTCAAACAACCATCAGATGGTTTGTTTATTTGACCTCTAAAATTTGTCGACTAAGGGAAGGATAATGTGATATTGTTAAGTTGGTAAAATTTGAATGATGTGGCAATATTTATATTGTTTCTATCTTACTTGTCATTTTTTCTTTAGAACCAAAAAGAAATAGGCAGATCAAAATTACTTCAGATCAAAGATTCAATTGATCAAAATGTCATGCGTTCCAAAATTCAAATTGCCGCTTTGTAGTACATATTTCGCCGGAAGATCGATGAAACAAACTTCTCTTAATTGAAAACCTAATTCCATGAGGTTTTCGACATTTTCAGAAACAAGCTAGCGAGAGCGAAAGGAAACAAGAGAGAGCAAGTTTTCAACTCGGTCTCCACTTCGGAGATAGAAACGAAGGAAAAGCCTGACCGTTGATTTCGATAGATGAGTCAGTTGGTTCAGCGATATCTGTCGTCGATGGGGTAGAGGGTCGCCCATAAGCTACAAGCTCCCCATCAACCGCCTCGGTTCGAGGTGGTCATACAAATTAATCGACGAGTTAGAATGGAGGTAGGCCCAATCGAGGCTTGTGCGGTTAAGGTTGTTGTACACGACCTCATAAAAAAAGAATGAAAAAAACGATGTTTCCAGCTTCTGGTCTGAGACATAAAGAAATAAGTAATAACGAAAGAGACATCTGACAATTCACTCCTAACTAATGGTACAAACATGGGAGTATTTGGGCATTGCTTGAGCCGAGTTAAATAAAGATTGGGTACCTAGTGATTTAGGAATGGATGAAATCAATAGATTCCCCGTGCCAAAGTGATTGTTACAATCATGAAGAAACAACAAATCCCAGCTACCTAGTAATTTAGTGTGTTTTTGCTCATGCTAGCAAAATAATAGAAAAGCTTTATTTGAAAAAAAAAATAGTAGACAGATTTCATTTCCGCACAAATTTTAACTAGGTATCATCCCACGTTAGGTGATTGTTGCGTATTAATATTCATAAGTTACATCTCAAAACCAACTGTATATTAAAAGATCAGTAGCCATGTCTATTATAAACCTTTATTAGGTCCCTTATCAATGCAGAATCCTTAACATATGCCCTCTACGATTGTGCTCATCAATCTTGGCCGAATCTCATTTTTGAACCGAATGTCTTGTTTGAGTTTTCACACTCTAATCCCATATTAATATTTGGAAAAAACTTCCCTCGTGAAAATTCAAGAAGAAGCTTCTTCTGAATTTATGCATAGTCCAATAACATATGGATAAATAGATCACATAGAAATTATACAAAATAAAAAATTCATTTGTTTATATACTGCTGGACCACGCATGAAGTTTTGTCCTTAACATTTATGGGGTTTTATTTCAAAATGAAGGAAATAACATGAAAGCTAACTAAAGAAGTAACACTATAGCAACAGCTGAAAGCATTGGTGATAGATCATTATCATTAACTTGAAACACACCATTCAATGGATTATTACATTGTGAGGTGTGCAAATTCAGCAGCCAAGGAGTTTGAAACCTTGTTGTGCTTATCTTTGGGAAGTGCTTTTGCAAACTTGAAAGTGCAGCAACATCCCACAGGGAAAGTGCGGTTGCAATAAGGCCCATCGCCTTTCTTATTGATATAACCTGGATAATCCCATTTGCTGAACTCTGCTTCTTCTTTCAAAAACAAACCCTCTTCTTCTGCAATTTCCACAATCTCCCATTCACTGAATGGATGTGAAGTCTTGTGGGTGATGTGAATTTCACCATTTTCAGACACCATTTCCACTGCATTCCTCACAAAACATCTCACTAGATTCTGGTGGAGTCTGCCCAACACAAACACACAAAACCGAGACGACTTAAAAACACGAGTTTCGTAGTTTTGGATTTGCTATTTCGATCATGATTCTCCTACCCGAGAGGAAAAAGTCCTTAGTTGTGGGTGTGGGGGGACAATAGCAGGAATATCCTTGTGTTTTTTTTTAAGTCTTCCAATATTGTTTTTGGGTATGTTATAAACTTCATCAATCTGGCTTATTTCTTAAGTTAAATCTGATTTAGAGTTATTTTTAAGTGTTTATTTATTTTCTCAAGAAAAAAAAAAACTTCATCAATCTCATATTTTTTGTTTGTATTGAATTAGTTTATCTTCCAGACCATCTCCCTAAAAAG